GTGTGTGTGTGTGTGTGTGTCGTGTGTGTGTGTGTGTGTGTGTGTGTGTGTGTGTGTGTGTGTGTGTGTGTGTGTATGTGTGTGTGTGTGTGTGTGCGTGCGTGTGTTCGTTCGCGCGTGCGTGTGACTACGCTCGTGCGTGCGTGCGTGCATACGTGCATGTGTGTGTGCGTGTTATATTTCGAATATTTCGTCAGTGTAAGTTATTTTAACTTAATTTGGATCTAACTGTGATAAACTTTATTAGCATGTAAACTATAGAGATCCGATGAAATTATTTAATCATAATTCATATATGTTTGCTAATAGTTACCGGCATACATGAAAGTATTATGATAGAAAATAATAGCAAGTAATTTATTTGTTAAAATTTACAGTTGTTTCACTATATATTTTCACTTACATTTGGAGGCGAATAACTTTACAAATACCGAACATGACAGCATATTAATTAACAGGTTTTCTTTGTTTTACATTTTACTTGGCAGTGCTTGGTTTCTTGTCCGGAATCCTTTCGGACAGTGGAGTAGTTCCAATGAGAATTCTATGCCTTTGGTAGTTTTCGTATTTCTTAAACGTCTTATTGGTTTTGTGAAGCCAGTCTAAAATCCCAAGCGGGCCAAAGTTGGCATTAAATCTGTCGGATAATGAGGAAATAACGATTATTCCAATAACCAGATCAGCAAACGCCCTAACTATAATTGCGTTAACAAATAATTACGGAATAGAATGTAAGTAAATTATTGAATGCCCTCTACCTCTCTTACTGTTTCCCTTTCAATCTCTTTCTCTCTCCCACTCTTTAACACGTGCACGTACGCCCGCACGTACACAGATATAGTGTTATCAATTTTTATTAACTTTGGCTCACCACCTCTCGCTTTTCAATAGTAATAAAAGCCACCCTATATAATAATTATACTAACTCGGCCAATTACTTATCTCTCTCTCGATCTACACCTTTTGCAGTCAGTTGCAACGTTGTAACTCGCCTGTTTTTAAATCTCTCTCTCTCTCCCTTTCTCTCGCAATTTCCCTATTTTCCTCTCGCGCGCGTGCACTCCGTCTCTATCTCTCTGTCTCTCTCTCTCTCTCTCTCTCTCTCTTTTTCTCTCTCTCTCTCTCTCTCTCTCTCTCTCTCTCTCTCTCTCTGTCCAGGGCCCGATTTAGGAGTGGGCAGCTGCCCATGGGCCTCCACAAACCAGGGGCCTCCACATATTTGATTTCTTTTTTAATTTGTTAAGGAAAAATATAGGCTGACCTGAATGACATGCACGCAACCCGTATCAATCAAAACCAAACCGTTGCTGTGCGCATTTTACATCTTTCATACGTAAGACAGCGGCATAACCCATATTGT